ACCCCAGCGACTTAAGACTGCTTTTGTGCTCCAGGGTCACGTATACATACAGCTATATACTTATATAGCAAAATAACTGAGGTACTAGTAAACTAACACTGCATTAAATATGAATGTTGGGTTGTTGGGCGTGTTGGGTTGGAGTGGGGTGTGGTTTGTGATTTATTCATTGACTGATAATGTTGGGCCGAGGGTTGCTGGACTCCATCTGTCTGCGTGTGACCTCGACTGGCTGAGGTGCAGCATTTATGGCCTTAAGACTGGGCACAAACAACAAATCGCCCCATTATAAATGCCTAAGTGGTAATTAGTTCAAAAGCAACCCCCACCCGGCTATAAAGCCCAGAGCGGGCCGGTTATGCGCGTGGATTAACCCCCCCTCCAAATCCCAGCGTGACCTAAACCTGCTCAGGACAGCAGGCAATGCACGGGTTTGTGTGCTCATGTGTGACTAAACTTCAGACGCTGATGATCTGCAGCGGAAATGTAGTGTATCACTAACAAACAACGACAAAGAAGCCACACCTCATCTATGAAAACATGATCTATGATTATAAAAACTCACCTCCTAATAGCCTAAATTAAAGAAGCTGGTATCAAAACTGATGTGAAATTCTGCTGGTAAATGTTCTGAACTCCAAGCTGTGCGTTAACTCACCGTCAATCTCTAAGTTGTACATGCCGTCGTGTTCAGGGTAGTGAGGACCGTCTCCATACAGCTAACACACAAAAACACACAATAATACATTACAAAAGTCATGATCAGCAGCACTGAGAACGCAAATCTTAAGTAATCACAACACGAAATATCAACATTAAAGAAAGTTAACATATTCTGAACTTAAACATTCCTCTTCAGTCCACTCACAACATTTACTGGGAGTACAATTATTTTAATTCAATTTATAATATAGTTTTATGTACATTTAAACTATATAAAAAAAATATATTATAAAAATAAAAATATAAACAAATTAAAAAGGTATTTTTATAGGTTTAAAGGTATTTTACTTTTAATTTAAAATATATTTTTTTATTATTTATCTATTAAACTTTATTTACATTTTATTGTAAATTATATTTAAATGTAAAAAATGTTTAAAATTTATTTACAATTGCTTAAATAAACTTAATATAATTTTTATATTGAGTAGACAGCTATATATTTATATTAAAATATAGGTCATTTATTTATATTTTCATATTTCTTTTCAATTTGTTTTATTAAAATACATTTTATGCTACTTTCATATTGTTAAATTATATATATATATATATATATA